TTATATTTTTATTGTCTATATATTTTTTAATGCTGTTTGCCTAATAATTATATTTAATTGATATACACACACACCTTTGTGTTTATGGCTGTGTGTGAGTGTGCTTCATTTTTTTCCTAGGCGCCTCTTTAACTCTTTTTGTTGCTTTAACGTTTTTTGTCTGTTTGCTGCGCTAATGTCGTCAGCCTTTGACTGCGGCCCGATAGTGATCCGATTGGGGGGATCGAGGGGTCGCACGATGAGCCACTTAATTGGCAAATTATAGCGCTTGTCTAGATCTGCATCGCCAGCCATCAACTTTGACATTGATGCGTTCGGGCAGCTGCCCTGCACCCCAGCCCAGAGCCAGCGCAGAGCCAAAAAGATATGATATTGGAACAAAAAGTCGCGCGCGTAATGAGAAACTTGTTATAGGAAATTAGGCTGGGAAGGGGCATAGCTGACACTCCGGAGCATATTAAGTGCTTGCGGCAAAAAGTTATACAAACACATAATTCCTCAAAACATCTGAGGACTTCGAACACGACTCTGACTCGAACACAGACTGCATAGTCTGTCTCTTCGTCAGTCTGTCGGTCTGGCTGTCTGTGTAAGGGATCGTCGTGGAAATTGATATGCGAAGACGACAAGCGAAATGCTGCGACTGCGACCTGGACTTGGACTGGGTAATTCCAAAAGGCACCTGCAACCGTCCAGTCTCCCGAGTCAAGTCAAGTCGAGTCGAGTCGAAGTCGAAGCGTAAATTGATAAGCTGCAAGTGCTGGCTGGCTGTTGCCTTGTTGCAGCGGCAGCATGCAAAGGGTGAGTGGGCAGCTGCAGTTACAGTTGCACTCAGCAAAACCAAACACAGACATATATGCAAAATTATATATGTAAGCCTAAGATATATGATGTGCTTTAAATACAAATAATTCATGTGCAGAAATGATGACCTAAATGAATATTTTGGTAATAGAAAAGTCTTCTCAATTTCTTCAAGTGTAATCATACCAGTTGGCTTATTAGTGGCTGCGATTGACATTGCCTTTGCTATTTGCCTTCTGTTTTGCTCTGCCGTCTGCTCAGCGGGAATTCGCGCATGCGCAGCTCCCAGGCTCTGTCCAATACCAATAGCCAGTGGCCAATACCCAATTGCCAATTGCCAATACTCAATACCCGATAGCCAATGCCCGGTACTCAACTCACAAGCCCGGAACAAGACTCCCTTCGACTAGACGAGAGCCGAGATAAACATATTTGGCTGCAACTTGGCGAAACCTGCACGCAATTGTAATTGCCTTCAGTTCGATTCTGCTTCGGACACCTTTTATTCTTCATTTCGCAGCCGACGTCAGAGCCTAAACACTGAGAAGAATTTTCGTAGACCATGAACTAGCTGTAAATTCATGTTTAACATTCGTTAGAGACTGTTCGATTTATAATGTGCATATGTAAAATATATTATGTAAACATAGTTGTACTTACAACATCGAATTCCATGAATAATAAATTATCATATTAACAAATTATATTCAATTGACTGATTGGTTCCCTATTATGATTCGCATTTTTAGCGCCCCAATATATAAGTATATATTTATAAAAAATACTTTAAAGAGTTGATCCCATCAGCTTTATTATATAACTCAAGCAGGCATATTCAGGTTAAAGATTTTTTTTATTTATATTTAATTTTTATTCTTATATATCATTTTATTAAAAATTCTTTCTTTAGTTAAAACTATTAAAATAAATACTTGAGCCTTATTTTAATATAAATTGACACTCATTTATAAATTTGAAAGCTACTTAAACTTCATTAATTATTAATTTATTATTCAAATTAAATGAGAAGATAAATTCCAATTTTTAATGGGTTCTGGTCTTAAATATATGAATTCATCATATTTACATTCAAGCCAAAAGCCAAAAATTATGAGTATTATGGAATAATTCTTGATTTATTTTTAATTTTTTATTATTTTATTATTTTTATTTTATTATTTAAAATGTAAAATGTATATTTATCAAATTAAAGGAAGAATTAAAAAACAAAACGGATGATATATGGAAATAATTTATTTAATAGTAAACCTAATTTACTTCTGACCTTTTCCAAGAATATTAATAACAAAATAGTAAGTGTAAATAAATTTTAAATAACTAATAATATGAAACAATCGAAGCTCATAGCAAGATCTGATCAATTATTATAGGATAAATGCATAATCCGATCTAACTAACTACCGTTAATAAATTGTGTTCTATAATTAAAAAAATGGAGATACAAATTTCTACTAAATCAACTATAAACAAAATCGTCCAAGAATTTAGAAATGCTTATGGATTTAATTAATTATCAAAATATATTTATTTAAATTATTAGGGAATACAATTAAAATAACTTCACTGTTCTCCATAGAAAGCATCTATTTTGGCTCCGTGTATTTTTATTTGAGATCGAGAGTCTAACTATAGTTAACATACATAGTCTGCCTCTCTCCGTCCCACTTATTGGCTGAGCCATCTGTTACGAGTGCCTGCGGTTACATGTGGACATATGGCGGTATTTTAGTGGCTGCTGCTGCTGCTGGCCCTGCTCCGTTCTCCTGCTTTGCCGCGGGTGCTCTGCTCCCTTGAGTGTAGACATTTTGGTTTTTACACTTTTGTCTGTTCCGAGAATTGTGTCTTGTAGTTGTGGACGTCAGGGTGACATAAATAAATCATTCCGATAAGTGGCAACGCCACATATGTTGTCCCATGATTTCTGTTCTTTGTGGTTCTCTTTCCTATTAACAACAGGGAGTTAAAAATAAGTATTTGCACTTATTTGTATTGTTCGCATAAAATGTTTTTGAACGCAGTTGATGCAAAATGCTCGTTCGATAAGCAACTCGACGATGCTTGCAAAATGATAACCAGCAATAAGGTCCCGACTTAAAATGTTCTAAAAAAAAACTTTTAATTACAGCATAATGAATTACTGCGCACACACACACAGCAACACACTGCAACAAGCAACTGCTACAATGCTAAAGAGAGAGTCAGCAATACACGCTGTGTGTGTGTGTGTGCGCGAGTGTTAGTGAGTACACGCCCCGTTTACTTTGAGCGCAAAGTCAAGTAGCAAACGGCTTGCGCTAGAAAGAGATGAAGCATACGCTTCCATAATTGGCTGCAGCAATTGGTACTTTCCAGGCGCGCGCATGTAGCGACACACTGGGAATGGAACGAGCAGTGTTTGTTCGCTCGATTTCGCTCGCACACAGTGGCGCTCGCTTGATGATCGCGTTGCCAGGACGACTGGAAAGCGAAAACAAACAGCAAACGGCAGAGCGCAGTGGCGTGTGTCAAATTCCAAAACGTTTCAACCAGGACTGGTTTTTTCCAATTTCGTTTTCAGTTCTTGTTGGATTCTCAAAGCGTCGACGTGGCCGCGCAGTCACCGAGCCACACGAGAGTCGTCGCTCGCGTAATACCAAAAACCAAAGACAACAAAACAAAAAGAATAGAAACAAAAACAAAAGAAAAGAATATTTTTTCGGCAACGGTCAACGCCGTCGGCACTTTACAGTTGCTTGGTGAGAGAGAGCGTGCGTAGGTGAGAGAGAGAACAGAGCACAGCCTGTTTCATTTCAAGCGTCGTCAACGTTTTCAGCTCTGAGCTTAGGCCGCGCATTCACATATTCATTCGTTTCTGCCGCTCGCGTGCAGTCGCTGTCGCTGCTAACTGTGCTAACGGTGCTCGCCGCCGTCGCCGTCGTCGTCGTCAACGCCAACGCCAAAGCCAGCACCTCAGCGCCTGGCGCCTCGACCGGAGATCAGTGCCAGTGTTGAAAAGGTGCGTGCCTCAACGCAAGTGAAAAAGTGTGCAAAATAAAAAAAAAAAAACAACTGATATTTCGAAAAAAAAAAAACAAAGGATAAATCAAATTTGAATAAAAAAATTTGCAAATTTAAATTCCGACTTCCGACTTACGCTTTCCTGTCTATCACGCGATACCCTACAAATTCAAAATCAACAGTCTGCCTGCGTGTCGGCTGACATAGTTCACCCACTCACCCGCACACGCAACCAGCACTAACGGGGCTTTGCATAGACAAGACAAGTGCAAGTGCAGAGTGCTGCCAATTTAGCCTTTTTACCGGCGGTGCGGTCATTCACATTGCTTCGCTTCACTTCTAAATGTCATTCTGACAGCTCTGGCGACGCCTCTGTCGCCGCTGTCGCCTCTG